AACTGGCCCCAGCCTGGCCCCCCCAGTCAAATTGGTCTAGAACCGCCACTGTCTCATACACATTTATTTCAATACAGTTTCAATATAAAAACTAGAAGGAAAATCAAACACACTCTCCATTTTCCTTTGATTTATTTACAATTATTTCTACCCTTTATTAAAGGTGTGTCTGATGATGATTGAGGAGATTCAAAGCAGGGCGAAGTGTTTCCTTATAGGACTAAGAATACCTTCTCTTCTTCTTCTAAATACAATGTAAAATCTAACAAATCGTTATCATCATTTTAAAATAATCAATTTTCAACTATTTTTAAAAGGCACGCCTCTTCTCTGGCAGACCTGCTAAACCAATTATTTGGGAAAATAATTAGGCCACATGTCAATACCTCATCCCAATTAAGGTAGAGCAGGAATCAGACATGCACCGAGTCCGGACTGCGGTGCTTCCTATTGATTCTCCACTAATGCCAGGCATTTGTCTGAGGCTGGTGTACTTCCACTGTCTGTCACTCCGTCAACAAGTGCTGTAATCAAGTGTGCAGATAGAGCCAGAAACAAGCCAAGAACATCACAAACAATTACTTTTTTCTGTGTGTGACATGAAGATTGATCACTTCTGCACAAGAAAGATTGCATGGAGGGAGATGGGAGGACCATTTTCATATCCAGCAATTTAGGAATTGTGTTCTTATTTTCTTTGTCGCTGAAGAATAGGACATAAGCATGCCCAATTGGTCTGGTGTGTTTTTTTCTTTTTATAGTTAAGTGTTTCACAAAGGCTAATGGACTGAAAAATCCCATTGGGGAAATGTTTAATACAAATCAGAGAGGGTCTTACTTTCCCTACATAGTTTTAAGAGGACAGACTAGCCAAACAGAAAATAGAATTCACTCCTGTTATATTGTCAATTACCCAAAAATATGATTACTCTTGTCTAACTTGTCTAGTTGAGCTGTAACTACTATTAACACACAGAGGCCATATCCTTTTATTTATTTTAAAGGCTAACACCAATATAAAACATATCTGCTTTTAGCTTTACTTCTTGATTTGTAACTATTAAACTAATATATAACTATTTTCAGGCAAAAAAAACACAAGAAATGCTTATGCTAAAATATTAAATCCGGCTGACTTGCCAAATTAATATAAACATAGTGTTACACTTTTTTTTTAAAGTAATTAACTATTGAAATACATTTTCTTTCTTATATACAATGAATTCAACTTTTTGTTATCATAATAAACTGACAATACAAAACAAACTCCACAAAGCTACCTTACATGTATGAGTTTGATGCAGCTAATTTCCCATCTAGCAGACATGAGCAACATTTGAAGTACCATTTGTATAAAAAACTATAAGCCTAATATGTATTGACCGTTTAGATATACAATTGTCATTGTTTGAAATATCTGGCTCTTTTTGTGGATTTGTGCACATATGTGGTCAAGGACTTGAACCATAGGGTTGCCGGTTCAAGTCCCCGAACAGACCTAATTATGGAGTACTGCTATTAGTAGTATTATACTGCTACTTGGAGAGGTCCCCCCACACACACACGCACGCACACGCACGCACACACACCACACACACACACACACACACACTTCTCCCTGGACGCTGTGCAATAGCTGCCCTGCTCCTAGTACTATGGGTTATTGCTGTGCTGTGTGCATCTACATGTGTATGATAAATAAAGAGGGTTTCTAATTCTATATCCAACAACATCCTCTAGTTACGTTTTTACTGTCAATCACGTTTTCCCTAGAGAGCTATCTAAGGCAGGTTGACAATACCCTGCTTTTCCACAGTTTGACATATTTTGTTTCTTTGTCACCTCGGAAACAACGTGGTTTTTGTAGTTTTGCCTCCAGCAGAATGAAGTACACAACAACACACTACTTGACAACCTAGTGACTCAAATATAGGAGTAACACACTGGGGAGCTTTACAGTTTCTTCTATCTCCTCACTCAAACTTGAGTGGAACCAACAGATATTGATGTTATAGCCTCATTATACTCTTAACATTGACTTCTATTAAAAACCCACAGACAGAAACATCACGTTATGACCTATGATTATTATGACATATTTAAGAACAGAAAGCAAGGAAAAAGCATATTTCCTTCTTTCTGTTATATGGCGTCCGTCTGATGATTAGGATATTTTAAAACTCAAACAACAAGCTTTGTGATTGTTATTCCTCTTCTAAGTAGCATAGACTACTTAGCCATTGTTACTAAAGCTATTCTGAGATCCATTTGCATTAATCAGGAGTTTAAAAAAGATTGCATGGCACTCATTACACATGGGGCACTGCAGGCAAACACTCACAAAGCACACACAAACACTGAATACTCTATAAGCTGGTAAAATATGCAAATATCTAACGCGGTCTTGCACACAGAGAATGCAAATCCAAAAAGATGGTTAAAAACTGAAGTGTAATGAAAGCCTGACCAACCATTTATTTTTTATCTAACCCTTATCATTTTCAACAAAGCTGAGGAACATTTACCATTCTGCATGCATTTAGACATCCATCATTCATGGGTTGTACTGCATAACCTTTTACTTCCTACAGTTCTATAGTGTGTTGAGTGCTTCAGCCAGAGTCGTCTTTTTGTCTCAGAAATGTTTCTGCTCAATTGGAATCACCGGAAATGTAATTTACCATAAACTCGTAATCTTCAAAAATTCATTTTAAGTCAGAAATGTGTTACAGGCTCCCTTCATGTGGTGGAATCAATAAGTAGGGAAAGAGATTTTCACTAAAGAAATAACCTTACCTTGGTAAATGAGCTTAACCCTAATCCTAATTGTGTCAATGGCAGGATTTACCACTTAGTTTCTAAACAAGCACTTGGACAACACTCCGTGTTTGGTTTGCAATGAATCTTCTGTAAATATCACCAGTGCTGATTAATTCCTCAGTGTGTACAAAAGCATAGGGGCTTGTACCTTTTCTTCAGGAAATAATTGGCTGTAGCTGTCTGTAAATACATGGTTTAAATCATAACCCTCCTTATCAGCTGCTTGCCAGTCCCGCACTGTGTGAGAGGAAGGGGGAGCATGCAAAGCTACTGTAAAGCCTTTTTTCACATTGAAAATTATACATTTCATAACAAACCTAGACACTTTAAAGAGTAAATCCTGGTAATAATTTCTTCGCCCATTATCTAGAGTGTACACCCGTTCTAAAACTCAAAAAATGTTGCTTGAGATACAAATGGCCATTAGCTTCCAGCTCCCAGGGATATCACAGCGCTGTAATCCTCGGTGTGAGATGTGTCCATCTGTTAATTGTTTTTATTTTACTATCCTGTGTTACTGAATAAGCAAAGGCAACCCGTAATCATCTAATCAGTCTTTAAACCAAGATAAAACAATAGGAATTGGAAGCAAAAAGCCGATTTTTCAACACAGGAAAAATTATATTTGTTTTTTTCTTTAGTACTCACTCATCTGATCTAATGTACTACAATAAATATGTATTAGTGCCTCTCAATCCCCACAAGCTTTTGGGCAAGTCCATTTGGATATAATAAGGATGTAAATAATTGTACAACAGTAAGCCTCCCTTGATGCTGGAATTGCCATAGACATGTTTTTCAAAATTAAGCAGACAGACATGTGGTTTTATTGAATTAAATCACCTCACTTCTGAGATTAGAGCTGGTTCTTTTTGCATATAGATAACATTGAGGTTTCACCGTTTGCTATTTGATTTTTCAGTCATATCAAACGGCTTCATCATCAGTTTGAGATGACCCCCTTGTCAGTCGTGGAATTGCCCATGTCAAATGTCCTTTTTGTCATGTTATATATGCTTATAAAGGTTTGAAAGTTAGTCTAAGGAGGCGTGTGGTGCAGTGGTTGATCGTTGTGTTCGGATCAAGTAGTCACAGGTTCCAAACCCCACTGCAGTCAGCATGTCGTTGTGTCCCTGGGCAAGACACTTCACCCCAAATTGCTCCTGGGGGATTGTCCACAGTATTGAGTATGTAAGTCCGCTTTGCATAAAAGCGGCTAACAGTGTCATGTCATGTAATGTCTATGACCTTCCTTGGGAAGTTTGGTATTTCGATTGGAAAATGAATTGGGTTTCAGATCATAAGGAAATGTTGGAATGGTGAGGGCTAACTTTGCACCGCTGCTGTGTCCAATGGTTGGTCATCATTTATTTTAGCCACATGGTTTAAACTGGTTTGATTTTCACTATACATGCAGACATTTAAAAAAAACGTTCATTTTCATGTTCCCTATAATGCTTAAAATCGCATCTGGGTATTAAGTCCCTTTAACAATAAATGCAAGATGAAGAATAGACCTATACGCAAAACGTTGACATTTTATTTTATCTTCCAGTGTTTGGAAAAATATTGTACAGAATAAAGAGAGATTATAAATGGTTGTTTTTAGTAATATGGACACTTTTGCAGTGCAGGAAAGTGAATGGATATCCATGAAATCCGTGCGTCTCTAGGGACCTGTGGGGTGCGCTCTGAGGGTGTACACTGCAAAAAAATGTTCACCCTTGCAAGGCAATTAATGCAGTATTGAGTGTGAAAAGTGTTGTATGTTGAATTATTAAGAAGTGAAGACATCCTTCATTAGGTTACACAACTGTCACTTCTCTTCTGTGCAAAAATACTAAGACGTTTGTCATTGTTGTCGATGTGTCATTTCCTTTCAAAGGAATCTGCTCAGGTGTAATGAATACATGTAGGTATAACCTGATTCTTAAAGACGTGTTTATTTAAGAACCAAATGTACCTGCAACAGTGAATAAGTGAAATATATTGCCGCATTGTGGAAGAAAAAATACGCTGTTTTGAGATAACAAAAAATAAATAGACTTTGAGACTCAACAGTTTTGAAACACGATCATATTTTTTGCAGTGTGGCTACTGCTGAAGTCATTCTCCGTCTGATACAACAGCAGCCAAGGACAAGGAGCATCAGCAGAGAGAGGAAACAGAGGAGAGAGAAAGGTGCCTCCTCTTGCCATTGCGATCACTGTCTCGGTGTTGAATCAATGTCGGTGTGCATGCTGCTCTAACAGGAGGCTTTAGGAGTGGCGGGGAAGCGTTGGATTTAACTTCACACACGGACAAATCTATGCTTGGATTTCGGCTCTTTTTCCCTTCGCCAATGCAAAAGGAAATATGCAGCGAAGCTTCACCATTCTCTACACCAGTTTACTGGGGCTGTGCTTTGCATCAAGCTCAAGTTTTCCAAGTAACATCAATATAGGTGAGAATGGCGCACACGTCTCAGCTCTGAAACCTCTGTTTCAAGTTTACCCCGTGTCTCTTGTTGTATTGTGTCCACAATTAACTCCTGCTTCTTTGCTGCTCAACAGGAGGATTGTTCCCAACCGAATCACACGAATATGAGGTTTTTCGGTTCGCCCTCTCTCACCACCAGGACATCCCCAAACTGGTGCCGCAGGTGGATATGGTCTTGTTGGGGAATAGCTTCTCCATGACATATGCCTGTAAGTATTAAGGCTCCCTCACGTGAAGAAGATTACATTTGTTGGCATTTTCAATATGCTGTGTGTTCAGCCTGTTGTTCCGTCCCCTCAATCTGTTTATCGAGTTCGTAAAGAGCGCTTGGAACTCCATGGTTTAAAACCATGCGCATAATATAAACGCATACATTATAGATCTGCACAGATTTGCGTGTGTTATGAGGTTATCATCTTAGTAACTGTTGCGTGGGACCGCTAAATGACTTATTTTCACTGCTTTCCTTTGCATGGTTATAGCGTGATTTTGAGCTCTTGAGAATCCAAGGGGATTTAAAACCAACCTCTGCAGCATCAGCATAGATCCTGTCATATAACATCAGGTTTTATATGAATAAAACAAAAAAGGTTGCAAGTGATCCCTGTGCGCATTTCCTTCTAACCCCCGAGGTAGAGAACACAGAGCCTGAGCGCAGATCAGGGCTCTCAGGCGATGTGAACAAAGAGGGAAAAAAAGACTTAAGTGCATTTTTAATTAGCCACGGATCACAATCTCTTTTTTCTGGCTAAACATGCAATATGAAACCCTGCCTCCCTTAACAAAGATATTCGCACAGGCTTGCACATATTTCAACTTTTAGAAAGGCTTTATCTGCCTTATCTTTCTGATCTTTTATAATGTATGAATCAGCTCATGACAGACAGATCTGAGTGACCTTAATAAATAATTATGAGGCATTTCAAATTAAATGTATGCCATTCTTGCAGTTGGATGCAATATTACGCTCAACAAGGAAGAAAAACAAAATCATTGCTCTGAGTCCTTGGTCAGAGAGTACACTGTTCTCCTGTGGTTGATAATGTGTGCCATTATGCCAGCCAAACAAAAAGCTTGACAAAAGAAATGCCAGTCGTAATTGTTTCTTCTTTGTTAACCCTGCACTTATCCTTCCTTTGTATTCTGACAAGATTTTGTCGCCCTTGAGGCTTTTCAGCTCATTTTTCTCAATCCATATACTCAACTCCTTTGAAATTGCCTGTGGCTCATTCACACTCACTAGTGAAGAAGCACACTTTCAAGAGATACCCTTTGACAACCGCGCTGTCCTGACTCTGCCAGGTGTGCGCCTCAGTTATTTGATTACTCTTTCAGACATTGATTTTTAGCAGTACTTCTTTCGAGTTTTCCTGGATTTAAAAACAGGTCTTTATTCCATTTCCACTGGCTTGAATGCAGCTGCAAATATGAATAGCTCAAAGAACACGCGCAGTTATCTAGACACAAAATGCAGATAAAAGGACATTCTGACTCTGAGGTAAGAAAAGTCTTAGAAATGGACTCTGTAACCTTTCTTATTTGTCTGGTTTGGTATCTTGAATAATCTAACGCATCTGGTTAGGGAACATAATTAAACATTCTTAAAGGTTATTGAATACAGTCACCACAGCAGTCAATGCACTCGACGAGTGCACCTTTTTCAAATATTTTAGCCTTAATAGTAAGCAAATACCTAATGTGTATCTACATAATGGCTAAATAAACACAATCATCAGCATATTCATAACATTTGGAACCTAAAGCCACAGGGTAGGTTGTATGGCTTGCTGATTATAGGCACTGCAGATGGCTCCCCGATAAATTTGGGTCTATTTGGCCACCAACTTGTAATTGACACCTCGACAAGTCTCCTCCCTTAGTGCTGTCATCCGCGGGGTTGATATTTGTATCTATGTGTTCCAAGTCCTCATGATTTGTCAGTTGCTGGATTTTGCCCACGTTGATGCCAACAAAACACCTTATTAGTCAGACTATGAAGCCAAGTAAAGATCAGAGCTGTCTTCATTACCTGAGCTAACTGGATGTGAGTAAAAGCAGCACATAGATATAGATGTGGGATTGACTGGTGCTTTTTTGTGCAACCCTGGGTCTTCCTGCAAGGACTTTAATCCGTCCATCATGGTGCTCTGTGACCAGATAAAACTGAGGAGTACAAACCCTCTGCTGCAATGTAAAAGACACTAAAGTCTATTGTTCTCGACGTGTCAATGTTTAGGTGAAACAGCATTGTGGCAGAAAACTCTGCTTCACGGTCTATTGTGCATGTAGTAGGTTTTCAGGAAGCCTTAGATCATCCCACAGGCATTGAATCAAGATCGTATCTTGGGTGGTAAAGGGGACAATGTACTCTCCAGGGTAAGAAGAACTAGTTAAAACATTGCAAATACTCTGTATGGGGATCACGGTGTAATCAGTGCGGCAGTGCTGTTTAAGATAACATATACCGGTATATAATATACATAATACAAGGTGAGTGAAAATGCATAGATATCTGTTTGCCAATGATTGATCTAAAGGTCAATCAAGCGCAGGTAGTTCTGGCATCTGCAGGAGGAAGGTTAGTTACAGATGGGTTATTGCTCAGCCACAGCTGTAGTTAGGAGATTGTGAAGCCTTAGCACAAGGGATTGGGCCTCCTCTTCTAAACCAAAGTTCTAGAGATAGTTCTCCACATAAAAGTCATTAACGTCTTCTCCTGATTGGCTGTGATCACAAATATGCTTCAGTTGCACATCATCGGCTGCAAGTGGTCCAAAATAGATCCTTTATTAGATTCATTGTAACTGTCTGCAATATACCTAGTACGGGTATTTGGTCTTGGACCGTGATCACATCTTCATACCCATCTCGATTATGCTGATTACTAGGAAAAACCTTACTGACTCTACAACTTCTGAATTTCCTGGTACCATATCTTCAAAACTCAATAGGACTTTCATTGAATCAAGTCAACCCAACAGCACCAGCATAACAGATAATCAAAGCCATTCGAATATTTAATCTAATGAACCATACGCACAACAGCAACAACTGAGAGTTCCAAAAATGCTCCAAAAACGGTACAAAACGAAAGGTTTTGCTCTTATCTCTTTGAGTAGACAGATATCCATATACTTTACACAAATTGCACCTCACTTAATATTACTCTCCTACCTGTTAATAAAAAACACATTCAAGAAGTTCAACCTGTCCATATCTGGCTTCATAGCGTGCGTCTTTTTTGCGGAGATGCATTTAAAAGCCACCAAGAGCTGCAGTAAAACATTTGGAAACCCTGACAGTCCCCCAGGCAACCCTACCACCAGCCCCCATCCCCTCCCTTCCCTTCCCATCCCTTCCCTTCCCTTCCCTTCCCTTCCCTTCCCCCCAGCCATTTAGGTGCGGGTAGCCAGGCAGAGCTGTGTAATGAAATGTAAACACACCCAAGATGCCCTCATTAATGAGATGGTCCTTTGCTCAGAAGGGAATGTGATGCGAATTTGAGGGTGAGGCTGCGGCTTACGTTTCCAGGGAGGTTGCCGGCGGAAAAAACATGGTGCAAATAAGCAGGAAGGGATGGGGGGGGAGGAAGGTGGTACATAATAATGTCACTGTCATGCACCTAATGGAGGGACAGAAGCATTCATACAACTGGAACAATATGGTGATGTTGACTCAATTGGCTTAAAAGCACCATCCGTTAACTGCTTTTTGTCTTTTATTCAGTATATTGGTATGGTTGCTTCTAAAACAACTATTTTAATTACCCACAAAGATATAATACCCATATTTCTGGAAACGTGAGATTGATTGTTTTATCAAGGGTCAATGCCGATATTCTTGTTTTACTAGAGCTTAACTGGATCTATCCGCTGTCAGCACTACAGAATACCAAAGGCTTTTCCCTACACCCAGTCACCCCTCTCAGTGTTCTGCACGATGCCATCAAATATGACATATTTTCATCAATGTGTCATGCATATCCCTGCCATCCATGGGTATGACGGTGGGCTGTTGGAACAAGCATGTCAGAAAGATTCACAGCTGAGGGAGACGGCAAAAATGAAAGTGACACCTCTTCCTGCTCTGTGTCACTCGATCTGAAAGACTATTTTGGATTTGTTTCTAAGGGAAAAAAGGGCTCCAGGGCATGCTTATAATGAATCAGATGAGAAAAACAGCCTATTCCTGAGTATCTATTTAGTATGCCTGTGCGGAGGAGTGTGTATGTGTGTGTGTGTTTGCATCTGGGTGCCTTTACTTGCAGTTGTGTAGGATGTCTTGAGTGAGTGACAGCTCACCCCCGTAAGCGTGCAGCAGTGTGGGAACGTGCCCGGGGCTCTCGGAGTCCACAAGTGTGAAAAGCAGCGGGTGAATGGGCCCTTGTGCACGGGGTGAATGGAGCTCCGGATGAGGGTGATACTCATCAGCTGGCTCTTATGACTAGCAACTTCCTCCAAAAGCAAGCCCTCCCACACACACACACACACACACACACACACACACACACACACACACACACACACACACACACACACACACACACACACACACACACACACACACACACACACACCACACCACACCACACCACACACACACACACACACACACACACACACACACACACACACACACACACACACACACATTTGCTGGCACCTGTCTAAAGAGCAGGATAAAAGGGGCAAGAGGTTGAGGGGGTTGATGGACTAGGGCAAAAGTGAAACAGAAAAACAGAGAGGCGAGAGAAAGGAAAACATAATGGAAAGAGACATTGAATGTTAATGATTCATTTTATTTCCCGCCTGCGGAGTCATTGGGGAAGTAATGACGATGGCAGCACTGTCGGCATAATGTGAGACAGGATACTGGAGCTAATTTGCATTTCTCTGTCTTCTTTCTTCCCTTCACATACACAAACCAAGCAATAAACACCTGTATTTTTAGCATTCATCAACATGGATCGTGGCATTTTTTCTATAAGTGTCTTTGTTTTCACATTATCACAGAAAGGCTTGCTGGACTGGCTCCTTTTAAGTGTTTCCAGTGGTTAAAAATAACTGCCAGTGTGGAGAATTGTATTCACTGTTCCCCTCAGTTAGATATCCCATTACCATAATCTGGTATTGACTTGGTTTGTAATAAGGACGTCACTGAATCGCTAGCTTCATGTCAAATCCCCCGCAGGCTCACGCCTATATTATCT